CTCAAGCAACATGACTGATTTTGCAAGCTGGGGTGGGGCACTTCCCCTTTCAGCTTTTCTCCCTTCTCCTCTCTGCCTGCAGCCTCTCCACACTTCTACGCGGCCTCCACCCAGCTATATGTGAGTTGCAGCAGATTGATGTAATGGCAAGCTGTTGTGGTTGGTCTGGTGGCCCCTCAGCAATGCTTGTGTCCATGCTCTCAAATGGTTGAGCTCCTTTTAAGGAAATAAAGCATTGAAACAGCTCAGAGCCAGGCCACGTGTCTACACCAGTAACTAGCTCCTTGTGCAGGTTACCACCTCTGAATGCCCATGGCTGGGAGGGAAGACCCCAGGATGTGAAGGCAATGCCAGGTTCCCAGCGATGCCAGGCATGAAGGCTCTGAAGCTACACAGGCTTCTGCTTCAATAACTGGGTTGTGAGAAGGACATTTCCCCCAGGAGGAGAAAAATGTCAAAAAGTTCTTTCCTTTTATCGTCTCTTCCCATACTAGTATTCTTTATTTTAAACAAATAGAGACTTTCTAACTTCATAAAAAGCTCACCTATCTTCAATTGATGTCTAGGATCACCTTGACTTGTTACTTTGGGCATCTTTTGTCAGTTGCCCAACAGTTTCAACCCAGTTTTGTGACATAAGTTCTCCCCATCTGTTCCTCTCAGAAAAAAGAATATCTGTATACATTGTATATTCCAGGTCCAGACTGTAATCTGTGACTAAGGTGGTGACCACCTTTTTCAGTGAGAAACACTTGACTTCTGTGTTGGAAGTCTAAATGGTCATCATCAGACAGCTGCCTGTGCAGAAATGGTGAGCCCATGAACTCTGAGGTCAGTAGCACTGTGAGATGGCTTTTTGTTTCTGACCCATCGATGGCCAGCTACGGTATGTGCAGTTGTGGATAAGGGAGGTACCGCTTGTCTTTCTAGGCAAACGCTACCACTGCAGCAAATGGCTTTTTCTGCATGAAGTAGGATCTGACTTACAGCTCACTGAACCATTAGCTTCCCACATATGGCTCAAGCTAGGATACAGTCCTAGGGCAGAAACGGCCCTAAATTGCAACTGTCTACCACATACAGGATGCTTAGTACTGATTTTCCACAAAAGGTGCACGCAACATTTAACCTGAAACTTGAATGGAGACAGTAAGAGTCGGCACAAGATATTTCAAATCAGTTCCTATGTTGTAGCTTAGCCCAGGAAATAGGGCTACCCATCCAAAATAGGCTGCAAAGCACTAATTCTTAATGGGATGGCATTTCAGTGGGATGTGTATTTCTAAATAACTTAGATCAAAATTTCAAAGGTATATTTAGGAGAGATGGTAAAACAGCGTCTCTGGTGCCCTAAAAAAAAAAAAAAAAAAAAAAAAGTTATAGGTGCCAGATCAGCCTGAGAAGAAAATTTGGGGTGGAGAAGACGACAAGGAAGGAAGAAGATCTAGTGGACAGAGCAGCAGAAATTAAGTTTGCAGGACTTCATGTAGAAGTGAGTGAGAAACAAATCTTAAGACTTAAGAGATGACGGCACTGCTCCGGAGCTGACACCTACAGTCAAGATCATCCATAAAACAGAGTACTGCAAATTGCTTTTGTTTCTGTTGGCTGTGGTAAATGTCTTACTATGAGATATGACCCTTCAAAACCAAAGAGCTATGGGTAGAGAAAGTGGCCATAGAAAAAATGTTTTAAGTCAGCTGCTGAATGCATAGTGGCATTCTGGGAGTTACAACATTAAAAACATAGCAAGCTCATCAAGGAAATGAATAGATGTAACAGTGACCAGAACACGTCTTTTAATATGTTTCTGCTTTGCTGTGCTGCGCTGCTTGGGGATATTACCAGAAACTGTTGATAACTTTACTTCCATAAATGACCTTTTCACACCTGCTTATCATTTTTGCATTGGTCAGAAGCAACTCATGTCTTGGGTGCCCCTCTCTGGGGATACAAGTCAAAGTATACATTTCATGAACCACTGGACACCTCCTTTATGAAATTTACACCCTCTCTAGTAATTTCAAGTAAGACATTCAAAATCTGAAGGCAGCCAATAAAATCTGGCACGTGAACTGAGTACTTGAACTTTTGAAGCCTACTACACCTTCATTCTCAGAGCAGGAGAGATGTTTTGAATGGTTGTCTCTATCAAGTCTATAGCACCACATTCAAGTCTCAGTTTAGGGTTTGAAGAAGCAAGAAAAGAGATTTTTGAAAACACAGAGGAGCTAGAGACTATCTGTCTGTTCTAAAAATAGCTTATTTCCCCTAATCTTTGACCTTTACATTGCTAAATTGATGAAGAAGGTAATTAAACTTTTGACTCCAGGGTTAAAAGTTTCATGAAATGTTACTACAAATCTGAGTAAGCAAACGGTCATTTGAACATTCTGTCTCACAGGCTGATTAAAAGTAACAACAGATTTCTCACCTAATTTTAGTAAGATGAAGTAAATACTCACTCTTTTCATTTAACAAACCTGCAATTTCCATTGTCACCTCTATAGTACTGCATGTACAAAAAAGCCCACCAGCGCCTAGTGATGAGAATGCATAGAGAATTCCCTTTTGACGAAGCAAGCAGATGGGACATTAGGAAAGTCACAGAGAGAAAAATTGTTGCCTGGTCGTATCTCCCAGCTACAAGATATATACAGTATCAGTGGGTCTTTACAATACTGTCCTGCCTATCTATCGTTCTTCAAGCTACTTTTTCAGATCATCCTTTTCTACCTAAGTTTGGTGATAAATAGAGGTGAGAAACAGATCTTAGAAATAACAGAGTTGCACTGAAGACCACACCTGTCTACACTGTCATGCCACTGCCTACACAGAAAGACAGTCCCCTTCATCTCTAATACATCTATGGGATCATATAGGCCAAACACCACTCCTAAGGCATTGGTTTATCCCTAAAAAAATTTCTTTTGACTATGATCCAAAGTGTGCGTAGCGATCATATGGCTCCGTATATGTTTGGGGAATGTGTTCAGACCCTTTTTGTAAAAAAGGAGAATTATTTTTTTCAGTATACTGTTTTGAAAAAGTTAGTTTAGTGTTAGAAAAAGAAGCATCAGAAGAAGTAGAAGTGCATGCAGCTTCACAGAAAAGACAAACATTGCAAGAGCTGGAGTAGATACCTACAGTCAAGTTCATCCATAAAACAGAGTACTGTGAACTGCCTTTGTTTCTATTGACTATGGTAAATGTCTTACTACAAGATGTGACCCTTCAAAACCAAAGAGCTATGGGTAGAGAAAGTGGCTGTAGAAAAAAATTTTGAAGTCAGGACATGGAAAATCTAATTTATTGCTGAGCGCAAAAAGTAAAACTAATGAAAAAAAAACCAGATTGAATTTATCATGTTTAGGACACCAAAGATAACATTTTCACCTTCTTTTATTAGAGCAACTTCTAATTTGTCTTTATATTGATCTATAATTGAACTGTTGGGAGAATTGTTACATTATCAGCAAGTATAAATTTCATCTGCTGGTTCTCTATGATATTTGTGAGGTGAAGTAAATTCAATGCAAGTAAAAATCCTGTTTTTTGGGGCTTGAGCAAGGGAATTTTTTTTTTTTTTAAATCTTTTTTAAAATCGAGGCTTAAATATTTTGTGGGGTTTAATTATCGTGAGAGAAAGGAGGCTTAACTCATTTTACTGAGTTGATACACAAGCAGTAAAGGTAAGATTTTTTCCAGAGAGCATTGTACTGAGAAAAAAAGCACTAGGTAAGTGATCAGATTATTAAAAAGCATTTTTAAAAATTAATTTGTTCATAAGATATGTCACTATTCACGTAGGAGCTGAATTTTACACTCACATTTTTGGTAAGAGGAGATCAAGTGGTAAATAAAGTGAAGATGCATAAGATGCTGCATTGTCTACTAGGTAGTGCTGGAGTTTGGGAGTAGGCGCTATTCCTAATGCTGACACCATCCTGCTGTATTACTTTAACTTGGTTACTTTGCCTTCTGTGCCTCCCTTTCCATCTACCTCCCTTTACTAGGTTTCTTTAGACAATAAGCATTTAAAGGCCCTTGCAATCATTCTATAAACAAGGCTTCCACCCTGATGCTCCTTCTTGCAATAGGAATGTAAAAATGATGAGCAACACTTTTATTTGTGGATAAACAAACATATTTTGATAGTCACTCCTCTCCTGAAATATTTTTATTATATACAGCATTGATCACAGTATTCTGGAAGTCATCATGCTTTTCTTTTTTGCCCTTTTTTTTTTTCCTACTAGTAAACAAACATTGTGTTTGAGTAATGTCATCTAGTCTCTACATGTGAGCTGATGCATGCGGTAATCAGCAGTAATACTAGATCTTGGTGTGGAGTCTGGGATCCCTAAGAAGAATCAATATTTTGCAAAATCAGCTCTGGACAATAATTTACTTTAATCCATCAGACTTAATCAATTGTTGACTTTTACCTAGAAGAACAAAATTCAAGTATTTGTGAAAGCTCTTCTACGTAAAAAAATCAAGGGTAAATTAAGAACAGATATTGGAATCTGAAACATATGAATACCGTGTGTGTTCTAATATGGCATTTCTGAAGAAATCCAAATAGCAGATAACATTCAAATGAATAAAAAAATAGTAATAAAAGTACCTGAGAGTATACAGATTTTTTTATCACATCTGATTTCAGATAATTTTGACCAGGAAACACATATTTAATTCCATTTCCTATGCAGAATGAAAACCATCTTTCCTGGGGAGAATTTAATGCTTTAGAAATAAGATAAATAGTAGAATCTTTATAACTTCTCTGTGGATGAAAAGGCTCGTTGTCCTTCAAAATGCCTTTCCCAAAGAGAAGGTTGCAGAAAAAACACTAAGCATCTGAGCAGTCCTGTGCTGAACACGAGGAAAAGGTACAGGACCTGCTTGTATACCAGTTTGCTATATAGTAATTTAACAATATTGGCATATTATGTTAGGTACTAATATTTCTTATCAGAGTGAACTAGTCATCTTACCCAAGACTCTCTCATTCTTAGCACTCTGTTGTCCTCCAGTACTAGTTGAAAGATCCTCTGGTACAGGCATAGGTTCATCTGCATCATCTGGGACATCACTAATTGGAGGACTTTCCTTTCCTAGTAGTGAAGAAAGTAGCATCAGTGAGTCATCAGAGTAGCCTCATTTTCAAATAATACCGTAAGAGGAACCACATACCAAATAAAACTTAACAAAACCCCTGAACACTACTAAAACCATGACATTCTGAGGACCAAAACCTGTGTCCTGCAGAGAAAGCTTCTTTCGAATACAGAGAAATTATATTTGTGAAAAGAATGCATGGCCAATGTCTCTTCCAAATTTACTGAACTCTGGATACACAGTTATCTGTGTCTTAGAAAAACAGTCTTAATATTTTGGATATTTGTAATAAACACAGACATTTTTCAGCTGCTATGCTCAGAAGATCCAGTTTAGCTAACATAGACCAGACAGATTACAAAAGTTATTAAATGGTCATCTTTTTTAGAAACTCTTCTTTCTTCCACAAATGCTCTCTAGCAAAAAATTCAACTACATCTTCTGCACGCTTTATGAATACCCACAGATCAAGCTTTGGTTGGTCCATGTGCCTACAAATAATTAAATGCCTGTAGCTCCTGGGACTTCCCAAAATATGTAAAATTAGCAGAGGTCAGTCAAGAAATGACTTCAAGAGTTTTATGAGCTCTTATTTGTAAAATGGAAACAAACCCCTGTATCTTGTGTACACAAGGTTTTGCAGAAGAAAACAGTCCGGTGCTTTAGCATGTTATTATGGCACTGGTTTAGTGCCAAATGCAATACAATAAGGAAAATAACTCTCTTGCTAAGTATTGCATTTCCAGAAATGGTGAAGTTTCTTGGTTCAGCTCTCAGTCACAGCATATATGTCCTGCCCAGAGGACGATCCCTGTCTTGCAAAGCTTCTTTTAAAATGACTTCACACAGCTGTAACAAAAGCATGCCTTGAAAAGAACCACCAAAAGAATTATCTAAGTGATTAGTTCCACCAACTATTCCTAAAAGGCTGGTCTTTGCATTAATAGCAAAGAATGGAATAGGCCCAGAGCGGGATTTGCACCCAGTAATTTTCATGTAAGATGTAAGACCTTTGTCTCCAAAAGGGAGATGTTACCAGTTTACACTGATGCAATCTAGCAGACATCCCATGGCAATCAGCACACCAGTAAGGGCAGTAATTTCATGGCACAAAGGCCTAGCAAATTAGTGGGGTTTTTTTCTAATGATAATTTCCTCATTAACACACAAACATTAATTAATTCTGAAATCATTTTTCAGAAAAGGAAATATTAAAACACATATAGCTTACTTAAGTGACAAGTATGGTGATGCCAGTTATGGATTTGACCTGAAAGAAGAAAACGGTTTCCTCACAGCCTCCTAGATGGAGCAAAGCATTGTGCTTTCCGATCTCTACTGATCATGATGGGGGAGAAATGACAGGTATGTTCAAGTGATCTTCCAAATTAGCTGTTTTGTGTTGTTTGCACAGATCTAGGTTTAAATTAATGAAATGAGTGGATGACTACATTTCTTAATGATCCGTCCATCAGACTGTGGAATAATCTCTGAGCAGAAGTGGTAGGAGCGGCATCAGGTGAACCATCTAAAACTCCAGCCAGAGGACTGGAAGGTAATGAAGGAACAGTCCTGCACTGGCAGAGGGACCGACTAGATGACTTCATACGGGCCCCTCCGTCTCCACCTTCTGCGGGATATTCTTAAATGGGCAAAATCACACCCACTGGATGCAAGTGCAAGAGCAAAGGTAGATTGCGTAAATGGGAAAGAAGGTCTATAAATTTTACAGCAGAGGAAAGGAAAAGCAGGAAGTAAGCTCATTAAAACAGTGTTTTAATGTTTTCATTCACTGTTTAGATCCTTATTTAGTTATTCCTGTAGTTTTCTGCACTATTTTTATGGGATGTAAAGAACTTAAAGAACTGCCAGCAACTTTCCAATGCAAGTCCCATCCTGCCAAGCTGAGGTATCTCTTACAGATAGGATGCATGTGTGGGGATAGACAGCTGAAATATTTCAGCTTTTTCAACACTTCCTCCCCCAAGAAAACAAAAACAAAAAACCAGAAGTTTACTTGGAGGGCAAGAGGCAGTCTGGTCAGAATCAGCTCTCTTGGCATTACATGTAGGTTAAAGAAATTTGTTAAAAAGTAAAGAGTAATCAAAAAACACCTGCATCTTCCAAGGTTCAAATTGTGCTCCCAGTTATGATGGAAATTGATGCTTTGACTTAGTCTAGATTCAGAAGAACACTTACCCTAAAATGTTGAAGGCTTTTTTTACTACAAACCAGTATAAACACATACTATCAGACTTAGGAAATAACAGATTGCAAACAAAATCAAAACTTTCTTAGTGTGTAATTAGGCATCCTACAATAAGCAGGCTAAGTAGGATGCCTTGAAGATAAGCAGTCTTTTGGAATAGAAACCTGTTAGTAGATCAGTACTAACACAGTTTATGGTGAACTGTTCAGTTCACTAAACAGCTATCAATCTTCCACTTGTTAAATTAATAGCCATTTGCCCAGGAGGCATGAATCAGACTAGCCTCGCAGACTCGGTGGGGCAGAAGCCAGAGATATGGTATGCTTTCCTCTTTGCAGAAGACTACAGTTAAGAAAACTTAGCAAATTTGGCTTTAGTGACTCACTTCATATCATTTGATTTCTTCCTGTTCCACATGATCAAGAAATCCATGCATGCAAAAAGGCAGGGTAAAAATAGTGAATTTAAAATAGATATATTTGTTGAGCTCTGTGTCTTCGATTCTAGAGCATGATATTTGTATTTTATGCCTTAACTACATCTAAATCATTACACCATAATAAGTTCACCACTGCATGGCAATCTTACAGATATGCAATCTCACTAACATCCTTCTGACAATGAATTTGGGAATGCAAAGGGGGTGGGGGAAAGGAGGGAACAGTTTCCCATTTAATTTCTAACAAGTATGTCCAGAACAATAACTGGTTGAAGGGATGGAGCTAAAAAAAAATCCACCTAGTGGCAAGCACTGAGGTAAATTATTAAAATGTCACATAAAAGAGGAAAGTACCATAGATTTATTCCATTCCCATTTAATATTTTGCTCAAAAATAAGAACTGAGGCATAAACAAAGCAATCTTGGGGTGGGAGGGTGTCTTTTTTTTTTTTTTTTTTTTTTTAAAAAAAAAAGCTCTGTTTCTGCCACTGCCATTTATTCCTGGTGCCGTTGGTTAAGTCATAAATGGAGATAACTTCAACTGCAGGCTATATCATAGATTCCCCCAATTCATCCTGAAGCTCTGAAAGATGGTCTCAGATTTCCAAATACTGTCATTTCTGTAAGAAAATTGTTCAAGAAATGCTTAACCAATCAACAGTGCCTGGTAAGATCCTCAACTTCACTCTGCTTGAGTTTCCTCATCTCTGCCCTAGCAATATAGTTAAGACATGAAGAGAGGAAGGGAACAAAGTGCCCAGCCCTGTAAGGTTGTATGCATCCTTTAATCCTACCAACATATGTAGCCGGGTGTTTTTTTTAACATCTCCATTCAGTTCTGAGAGCAATTCAGTTCATGCCAGGATGGTGCTGCTGGAGCTAATGAATTTTAAAAAGAAACCCAGAGCAGGATTTCTTACAGAAATCTCATTCTCTCCCCTTTCACAAACTAATGTTGGGTTGCTTCCTATGGAAACACTAGAATCACTGGACAAGTTATTGAAGAAAAGCAACATAGACATTGTTCTGGATGAGAGTCACAACCCAATTCACCCCGCCCTTTTCACTAGTAGGACCTCAAACCTTCAGTGGCGAGAAGAGAGTTGCTCTGGGACACGAGCCAGGCTCTCAGGTGGGAGATAGCAGCCCGAGATACACTCATTTCCACCTTCCCAGGATGTAGCAAGAACATCAAATGCAAAACTCTTCTTCCTGCTTTTGCAGAACGCAGCACAGCCTGGTTGGTGCTAGGGCATCTTTTTATGTTAGATGTGGAAACATTTATACTGTTTTTTCACCTTCCTTAACTGTTAGGCCCTAGAACTGACAAAAAAAAAAAAAAAAGAAAAAAAAGAAAAAAAAAAGCAGGAAAAATACTGTGTGTTAAGTGAGATATTATCTGTGTTTTCTGACTCTCTTGTTCGGGTGCCGGATACCGTTTGGTTAAATGTATGTCAGCTGTCTCCTCATTTCAGAACTGCAACTGCTTGCCTCATGAAATACCACTTTCAGGAGAAAAATAAAAAGTGTGAACTCTGTGCTGGTCACACAGTATTTCAGTTCCTCTAGGAGCCAGCCGTGCCTGGATTCCCAGAAGTGGGAATGCCTGTGCACACACAGGGTTTGGCTCGCTCACACTAGTGTTATACTTTCTTGGCCCGGTTCACCCCTGCCACACCTGAGTCAGCTACAGCTGCATAAGGCACATGGCTGCAAAACACTACTTTTTAGCTGAGAAGACTGTTTCTAGAGACCTTTTTTATTTCTGGGTTAAAAACCAAAAGAAACTAAAGAAACCCCCAAAACTAATTTTATTTTTAAATTTATTTATTTTTAAAACACAACCAAGTGTGCTAGTGAACCAAATCACCTAACTCCATAGGCACAGAGAGTAAGCTACACCCAACAAGCATTACTCCCAGAGGAGGAGAAATAAATAAAAATGTTTTTCAGCTGACAATCCCACACTCCTGAAACTGTGCAATTGTTTAACTGGTTCCCAATATATAGTAGAGCTCCCTCATCATGCAAGGAAACACCCTAGAAGTGTGGAAACCTGAGGAGGAGGAGAAGAGGAGAAAACTCCTTTCTGGATTTGCCAGCTTATGAGAAAGAAGTAGGTAACTTCCCTGTACCTTCAGATCCTCTACTTTTGAGGTCTAGTAAGAGTTTACAAAGAGACAGTATCAGTGGAACCTAATCTGACAAACTCCTCTTTTCAGAAGGCTGAGTTCACACACAACTCAGATCATAAATGAAAGTAAATTAGCATGTTGTTTGTCCAGTTGTTCACAAATCCAGGTAACCCAATACAATTCACAGCCTCTGCTCACAGAAAGTACGAGATGCTCAGTGACAGGAACAGCAGGAAGAGTTCAAAGCTTCAAAGCAGAATTTTTTTTTTTTTCTTTAATCTGTTTATGTAGGTCTACTTCTTGTCAGGGGTAAAATCCCTCTTACACTGATATATTTTTATTATTTTTTTTTTAAAGAGAACCTTCTTTCATTGCAGAAGAGTACTATTCTCATCAGATAAAGGGCACAAGAAAGTGCTTCAAATCCTGAAAAACTTTGAGCACTACAAATTATATACATATATTATGTATAAATTTATATATACATGAACATTCAAAATAGCAAAGTTTCTTGCAAATCTTCCCTCTCAAGGGGACAGGCAGCCCATAAGGAAGGCAAAGCCTGCGACCTAGTCCACTCCTTGACTCAAGGCAGCATCTCCCACACTGCTCCTCCTCATGTCAAAAGAAAAGAAGAGCGATGCTCTGGTAAGAGGTAGCAGGTGTGGAGCTCAGATTAATGCCATTGCAAAAAACACCACAAAGGCTGGGTGTGGGAGTCCAGGGGAGCCTGTGCTGCTGCAGAGGAAGAAGAGGTCAGTGCTTCTGCCCCCAGGAGCTCACGCAAGCAGGAAAAGGGTTTTCTGCAGCAGGCAGAGGAGCTGGGCTGGGATCACGGCACCTCTCACTGCTCTGAGCAGATTCAGTGTTTTGTCTGCACAAAAGAGTAAAACCTCACTGCTTTTTCTGCTGGGGCCACACATGCTTCACGCACAGTGTGTATAGAATGGGGTTTATTTCATTTACAAATTGTTTCAGCATCCAACAAAACACTGATGTGTAAGTATATCCAGTTACAATTTTGAAATTGTTACCTCAGGAGGGGAGTGCAACATGCCTCCACAGGACTGACTAGGAATAGCTTCCCTATACTAAATGTAACTGAAAATCTTCTGTTGGCACGAAGGATTACTATATTGTTGTTCTTTCAGATGGAAAATGTTCCAATTTTTGAAAAAACTCAACATTTATAAAAAAAGAGGGAGAAAAAAGAAGAGAAAGAAAATTGTGTTCATATATTTCAGGAAAATCCAGTGACCTAGCTTCCCACACTGTATTCAGACCTTCATGATCTCCTAAAGCTGGCCTCCAGGTCCTAAACTGGCAGTGCCAGAGAGCTGCCTGCCTTAAGAGAGAGCCACACGCCCAGGTATCTGCCTGGAGCGGCCTCAGTGATGGGGCTGTCCTGCTCCAGGCTGAACACTAAAAGTGAAAACCGAAAGCCATTAACCGTTGCAGCTGCCAACATATTAGGGAAACTAGGAAAGAGACTAACTGGTCCTTTTTCAACTGTGGGGGCACGGTGGTATGAATAGGTATTATCTCGCTAACCCAATTTTTTAAGGAACCAATTTCCAAGGAAGTTAAGAATAAAACCCTCCATAGGAATATCAATATGGGCTAAGACTGCAAAATCTTATTCCATGACACTACAGGGCAAATTTTAGAAATCTAACTTCTCTGCTGTTTAAAAATTTTTCAAAATATTATAATCTTGGACAAAACCAGTTACAAGCATAAAGCCTCATGTCAATTTATGTCATTTAAGGCTCAGTCCTTCCCCCCTGCCCCCCCTTTATTTTTTTTTTTTTTCTTTTTTTAAAAAAAATGCCTGTAAGTAAAATTGAATGCTCTGGGAAAAATCAAACAACCCTATGTGGTAAATACAGTTTGTTTGCTTTTAATTAGTATTTGTTCCCTCCCACGTGGTGAACATTGGTTTTTCTATATTTGTTTTGTAACAATCAGAATTTTGCTCCCAAAAGAAAGAG